TGGAAGAGCCATGGGAGACAAGAGAAGAAAGTCAGAGTATCAGGCCCTAAGGAAGAAGCCTCAGCCTGAGGCAGCTGGTACCCCTACAGACCAAACATTTTTTCCAAAGTTTACTCTAGTGGTAGTGTATGAGATAGATCTGATCAGAGTCTGGGCATGTAAAGGTTATCACAAAAATCAAAGCAAAAGAGGATGCACTGAAATCAGTGTCACATCTGCCTTGTTAGCTACTCTGCACCTAGCGTGCATCCCAGGGTCAGACACAGGGTAGATGCTCAGTACATATTCAGTGAGCGACTAAATGAACACAAGTTATTTCCAAGATAATAAAAGTCAGAAATGGGAGTATTGAATTTGAAAATCCAGCTTGTTGCGATCCACAGAGCCTAGCTGTGCCACACATAGGATAGACACTGAGGAAAAGTCTCTTGAATTGGCCTGAAGAAGCCTGGCTGGATGTGGGAGGCAAGAGAGATATAATTGGAAAACAGCACTCATAGTGAGGTCATAGTGTGCTGGTACTGAAACATGGAGCAATTATTCAGAACGTGGGTTTGTAAAGAAAACAAAGATGGTGTGATGGCAAGAGCCCTCTAGGGCAAGGTGAAAGACTCCAGTGGTGGGTCTTTCTCCTCAAAATACACAGTATGTGACGGAGACAGTAATGACCTCTGAGGCTCTCTTGCAAGGGGCTCTCTAGAGTTATGTCCTAGACTTTCTTCAGTTCTATGCTTGCAAACAAATCTAGTACTTCCTTGCCTCGACTCTTCCAAACAGTATCTGTAATACTCTGCACAATATTTATACAAGTCCAAAGTATTCTAAGCCTGTGATTAACAATATGGTGGCCATAGCCTTAGCAGTGTCACAACTGACTATAGGATAACAAAGCATAAAATCTGACGGCATAGCCTATTTCTGCATAAATGCATATTGTCCTTTTAACTGTCCCAATGGATCCAAAGCATCTAACTACTGCTCACCACTCCTGATTGTGGAGTGGGAAGCAGACATATAAGAAGCTTCGTTTCTATGATAAAGGGTTAAAAGTAACACATGGTCCTTGGATTTTCTGCCCAATTGAAAGCATCTGTTCACATAAAAGATTGTGCACTTCCTCACATTACTTTCCAGGAAAAAAAAAAAAAACTAGAGCAAATGAGTAAAGTGTCCTCTATTTTCTTATTGTTGGCCTTACAAGTAGCACCGGTTCACCAAACTGACCAGGGTTGCACATCTGGGCAGCACATAAAAGAGTAAAGCCCTTCCATTAAGAACCCTTGTGGTCATGATTTTTATCTTGTTCACTTTGCTTCAATAACCCACATGGAGGAGGGAAACAGAGGTATACTCTCAGGTTCTACTCAAATTTGTATCTGCAAAGTACCCAGTTGTGACTCCAGTTGGTAATGCCCACTCATTACACCCCTCGAGGGATGCCTGTATGAAAGGAATTGCCCTACAGCTTAACAACATCACTGCCTACCTATGGAGTTCCCCTCCAAGTAATGCATTAGAAAGCAGATAGCAATCCACATACTCATACTCAAAACATCCTTACAGGGGAAGGCATCTAACAGAAGAATAAGTTGGTTATATGCAAAATGGCAAGCATTTCTTTCCAACTGAGAGAGGGGAATAGGCAAGGAAACGTGTGCTGATTCAGGTCCACAGTCTTCCTATCATCCATGCTCCATTCAGTAGTTTCCCTAGTCCTACGGAACTGCCAACAGGTGCTCAGAACAACAGGAGATGGGCAGGACACCCAAATGACACCAACACACAAGCATGCTTAATCATGCACACCTTCGCCATCCTATTACTACTCATCAATCAGTTCCTGCAGATAGGAATGGTTTTAATACAAGACAATCATTGCTAAGTTTTCTACATGTAAGACTTTCTAACATAAGAGTTTGACATTCTTCCCAATCCATATGCCCTACAGCTGCTTAAGCGGCAGACATCTTCAAAACGCTCCCTCTTTGCCTCTTTGAAAATGAACAACTCTTTAAAGATTTTTGTGGAAAAGCTATATTAAAAATTGGTTGCTTTTCAAGGAAAATACATTAATTTCTCAGAAACTTCTGTCTTTGTGGGGCCTCACCAACCCCATAAGGAATAACCTTCACCCAGTTGATCAGAAGCAAAGCCATTGGTTTGCAGTTAAGTCTTACAACCCAAATCCACAGCCACCACACAGAACCTTGTCCCACCTTTGCCTGGAAAATGAACTAAGCTAACCAAAGCTGTCTTCAGGAGACAAATACAAATACAGGGAAATCCCACCAGTTCGGGGGCTCTGGGGAAAGGGAAAGAAAAGAGTCTGTTCTCACCCAACAACAGTGGGACACCTGACAGGGTGCATCAAGGAAACTGCAGAGAATTCAGACACAAGGAACACCTTCATACTTCTCTTTCCAATGCATCTTTGTCTTCAAAAAGTCATGACAGTTGACAAGCTTCTGCCTACAAAAGTCAAATACTTTCCTTCACCTCTATTAACCTGCCATGGTCCTAATCTTCATCTTCTCCAAATAAATAAAAACAGGCAAGGTAGCACTTGGGAGGCAGTCAAGCCACATGCCTAGGCACTCGGCAATGAAAGAAACGCTGTTCTGTAAACACCCAGAGCTGAGGACCACCCGTAGCTGATGGTGATTTGCAAAGCTACTTCCAAAGTTCTTCCAGCAAAATCACAAAGAGGAACGACACCATCCTAATAGACTTTATGTGTTTCATCTGCACAGCCTTTGCAAGTGACTGTGCAAGGAAGCCCTTGGCCCTCAGATCTTAACATTTATGAACTCCAATGAAGAATAAAATTGGTTCGTGTTGCACCACTTCCAGGAGGTTTAAAGCGCCATACTAATGCTGCCACATGAATCCCCACAACACCCCTGTGAGGTAGGTAGGTGGAGAGTATTGTCATATCCCCACTTTGCAGGTGGGGTAAATGAGGCACACAATAGTTAAAGGACCGGCCCCAAATCACACAGCTAGTCACTGGCAGGGTTTAGAATGAAACTCCTGTTGCATAGCACCCCCACTCAGCGCCTCACACATAACAGCCGTCCACTGAATATCGGTGGACTTCATTTGACTTCTGTCTCAACAAACAAGTACACACACACATAGTACAACAGCAACCAAAGGACATTATCTCCTACATTGTTTTTTCTGATGATATCTCTCATTACTTGAAATCCTGGCAGATGAAAGATGTTCAAGAATCCACTTGACAACCAAGTCCTCATTTGAAAATGCTCGAAATAAACTCTCAAGTGACAATCCATTTGTGTACCTGCTCTCCCACACAATATCGGTTTTCTAATGAAAACAAAAATGGATTTCAGGTACCATGCTGATATTTGTTTTGTCTGTTTTAAAGGGAGCCATCTGAATGGTTCTGTGTTTTGTTTGTACAAAAGAAAAGAAATAAGGCGGCTTATAGTCCAGTTAGCATGTTAATACTGGGCCAAGCTTGGAGATCTCCTCCCAGCTCAGGTAGATTTCTACCTGGGAAGCCAGACTGACCCCAGGGAGTGGCAACTCCTAAGGAAGAGAGTCACTGGCAGGACATCACTTGCACTGTTCGTGATCTGTGTAGTCATCCATGTCCACGTCAGAATCAAAGATAGAGTGTCCCGTGAAATCCGTGTCTGGCGTCCTGGAAAAACTGTTCTCTGCCCCTTCATCTTCGGTGGTCTCTGTCCTTGAGTAGAAGCTAAAATCCAGCATGGGTGTGTGAGTCTTGCTGCCCTCGCTGCTCTCCTCGGACTCATAGATGGTATTGTCATCGTCATGGTGCCACTCAGGCCAGAATTTCCTCCTGATCCTCTCACAGTACATGGCGAGGTTGATCAGCTCCCCTGCAATGTGGCAGAGAAGCAAGCGTTAGTTCTTAAAGGCTGTGGCCTAACAGTGATACGGTCTGAATGTCTGTGCCCCTGGAATCCGAACTCTTGAGGAGATGCCAAGAGGTGGGGCACCAGGAGGTGATGAGCATGAGGTGAGATCTCATGACCCGGATTAAAAGCTCCAAAACAAGGCTGAGATAGCTGCCCCTTCTACTACGTGACAGCCTAGTGAGGACACACTGCATCTGTGAACTGTGAAGTATGCCCTCCTCAGACACCAAATCTTCCACACCACGATCATGGACCTACCAATTTCAAGCATTGTGAGGGGGAAAAATGGCTTTCACTTATAATCCACCCAGTTTGTGATATGGAGACACAAAGTAGTCACTGGACCTTCCGGGAGATGCGGAAGAATGAAGTGGCGTAGGCATTACCCCTGTTTTTTCCACAGAGATACTGTCAAAATATTTGGACTTTTATGTACACAGTAAATGTTTTTAAAGTAAGGAAAGTTAAATTCAGCAAGCATCCTGAGTAGAAAAAGACGAGCGTGGCCAGAAGCAGAAGAGCAGTTTTCCTAAACTGGCAGTTACACTCTGACCATCTGGCTTTACTGAAACCTTTCATGCAAAAGAATTAATGTGTCTATTCATTCACATTTAAGTTAATTTATAAACACCAGCCCAGGCACAAAATGTTTGACCTTTAAATTGTCCTGTCTGTAAGACATGTCAGGGCAATGGTGGCACAGAACTTATAGGAGTAGCCAACTAATGTCTGATTTGACAGAAGGCAAACTCCTTACCTGGCACTGCTTCAGTGACCAAGAACCAGAGACTAGATAGTCCAGAGACCTGGGATAAAGGTCAAACATTATTGGTTTAAAAAAAAATCACTAAAATGACTCCTAGTGGTATTCTGCAATACTCGTAGATCATAGATCAGTTCCTTACTCAGTGGTCACCACAGAAGTTTCTTTTGTCAGCAGATGGGAGCAGATGCAGAGACCCATAGCCAGACATCACATGGAGAGTCTAAAGGGAATGTAAGAGCCAGAGGGAGTGTAGGACACCAGGAGTACAAGGCCCTCTGAATCAACTAAGCAAGGCTCACATAAATTCACAGAAACTAAAGCAGCAAACGCAAGGCCTGTAAGGCTTCTGCACTAGGTCTTGTTTGAATATATTATAGCTTGTAGCTTGGTACTTTTATGGACTACCGAGTGTGAGAATGAGTGGGTCTCTGATTCTTGCCCCTTCTCTTAGGACTCTTTTCCTTCTGTTGGGTTGCCTTGTCCAGCCTTGATATGATGGTTTTTGTTTTATCTTACTATACTTTACTTTGTCATGTTTGGTTGTTTTCTCTTAGAAACCTGTTCTTTGCTAATGAGAGACAGAAAGAGAGTGGATCCAGAGGGGAGGGGAGGTGGGAAGGGACCGACTGGAAGGAGTAGAGGGAGGGGAAACTATAATCATGATATAGTGTATGAGAAAAGAAGCTATTTTCAATAAGAGGGAAAATGGAAATAAATTTTTAAAAGATTAAAAACTAAGCCTCGTATTTTCCGTAAAGAGGATTGTTAAGAACCATCTTTACACAAAACTCAAGTCCAAGAGGATCAAAGACTTCAACATGAATCCAGATACACTGAACCTGATAGACGAGAAAGTGGGAAGTAATCTCAAATGCATAGGTACTGGAGACAACTTCCTGACCAGAACACCAATAGCACAGAAACCAAGATAGACAATTAATAAATAAATCTCATGAAACTGAAAAGTTTCTATAAGGCAAAGGACACAGTCAACGAGACAAAACATCAGCTTACAGGATGGGAAAAGATCGTCACCAACCTCACATCTGACAGAGGACTGATTTCTAAATATACAAATAACTCAAGAAACTAGATATCAACAAACCAAAGAATCCAATTTAAAAATGGGGTGCAGATCTAAACAGAGAATTCTCAAAATAAGAATCTCAAATGGCCTTAAGGAGATATTTGATATCCTTAGCTATTTGATATCCTTAGATATTTGATATCCGATATTTGATATTGGAGAAATGCAAATCAAATTAACTCTGAGATCCCATCTTACAGCTGTCAGAATGGCTAAGATCAAAAATGTGACAGCTCATGCTGGAGAAGATATGAAGCAAGAGGAACACTCCTCCATTGCTAGTGGTAGGGCAAACTTGTACAGCCACTTTGGAAGTCAGTATGGTGATTCCTCAGAAAACTGGGACTCAACCTACCACAAGGCCAGCAATACTGCTCTTGAGCATATACCCAAAGGATGCCCAATCATACCACAAGGACACTTGCTCAACTATGTTCATAGCAGCTTCATTTGAAATAGCCAGAACCTGGAAACAACCTAGATGTTCCCTGAGGAGTGGGTAAAGAAAATGTGGTACATTTTACTCAATGGAGTACTACTCAGCTGTTAAAAACAAGGACACCAGGAAACTTGGAAGCAAATGGATGGAACTAGAAAAAATCATCCTGAGGTAACCCAGACTGATAAAAACAAACATGGTATATACTCACTCATAAATGGATGTTAACTGTAAAACAAAGGATAACTATGCTACAATCTAAAGACCCAGAGAGACTAGGTCACAAGGAGAGTTCCTGGGGGACACCCAGATATCCCTGGGAAGGGGAAATAGAAGACATTTTGTGAGTGGACTGAGGGCGGGTGGGGGGTGGGGACAGGCACAATCATGTTGGGGGGCACAGAGAATGAGATTGCTAGAGGGGATGGCTGGGGGGAGGCGTTCTGGAGTCAGGCTGAAGCTTGGAACAGAGGAATCTCCCAGGAATGTATGGGGAGGACCCCAGCCTAGACTCCTAGCAATAGTGCATATGTAGCCTAAACTGGCTATCTCCTGTGACCAGATTGGTGCCCAGCCCAATTGTAATCAGAGAGGCATCATTCAGCCACTGGTGGAGACAGATGCAGATTCACAGCTAAACTTTAGGTGGAGTCCAGGAATCCTGCAGAGGAGGAGGGAAAAGGAGTGTAGGAGGCAGAGGGTCAAGGACGCCACAGGAAGACTCACACAATCAACTTACCTGGGCTCATAGGGGCTGGCAGAGTCTGAACAACAACCAGGGAACCTGTATGAGACTGACCTAGGTACTCTGCATAGATGTTACAGTTATGTAGCTTTGTCCTCTTATAGGACTCCTAACAGTGGGAACAGGAGCTGTCGCCGACTCTTTGCTAGCTTTTGGGACCGCACTCCTCATACTGGCTCTCCTTGTACATGGAGAGGTGCTTAGTCTTACTGAAACTTGATATGCTGTATTTTATTGATACTTACAGGAGACCTTGCCTGTGATGGAGACAGAAGATGAGGGGATTGGGGACTGGGAGAAGGGATGGGAGAGAGGGACTGGGAGGGTAGGTTGGGGGTAGGGGTACTGTGGCCAGGATGCAAAATAAATAGATGGCGGGGGGAGAATTGTCCTTACAGATAAGTGTATCTACAAACACATCTAATAAAAGTTGTGGTTTTACTCTTTTAAATATTTTAAGTTAAATAGCTGTACACCGACTATAAATAGAATCTGATGAGCATTTCCAAATTCCAGAAGAAAAATGAAATTGTATGAGTTTTGCCTTTGATCCACCAGATGGCAGTGTTGCTTATAGATAGTAATTTGACCAACTCTTTTACTCTAAGACTGTGTCTTTTTTAGCTATATAAACATTTCACTTACTGTATGTGTAATCCATGATTAGTAAAAAAAAAAAAAAAAAAAACTAGGAAACACTAATAAGAAAAAATAAAAGACTGGCCAGCAACCCCACTCTGGATAACATTTTTAACATTCTTATAGAAATGTGCTTTCAAGTGTTTATACAAACTTGCATTTGCTACATAGTCTGTCCCCTGTGCTTCTTCTACTCAACAACACACATGGAGGATCTGAGTTTCACAGTATAGCACCATGGTTATCTCACAGTGTGTTACTATCATCATCATTATTATTATGTCTTTCTTCCAGTTTCTTGTCAAAGCCATTTCACTTGTTTCTGCACTGATTGCTGTTGGTTGGAGTCTAAACACTCTGGTTTATTTTTCTGTTATAGGAAACAACATAATCTGGAAGATCACTAGTCTGTGGACACGCACATAAACACATTAAAAAAAAACAGCATTTATCAATCCCAAGCAGTCACCATTAACATTTTAATAGTGATAGTTAAAAATATATTTTAACCTATTCTCTTGTGATTTAACTTGTAACCATTATGTATTACTGCCTAATTTGAAAATCTAACCAAGCACTTGACAGCATGTGAAAAGCCCTATGATTCATGCCTACTATCGAA